CTTTCTTGAACCCGTCATGTAAAGGTAAGCTCACGGTTCAAAAGTTGTCCCTAAGCCAATGAGGGTTACACCCTAGTATGAATACATATCAAGTTGGGATTGAATCTTCTGTCCCTAAATTCTTCTATCTCAACATGCTTTCAGTCGCACGATATAGTTGAAATCTAAAAGTAGTGTACTAAAGCATAAAGATTCGAAGACAGAAACTTAAATGGAATATAGAGAGGACAACCGCCTCTCTAATCTTATGGCATGATTGAACCTATACGAGTGTAATGCGACAAAAAAGTTTGAAAACAAATGATTTTATGCCATAAACTTGGATGAAATGTAAAGGTTTACCCCCATTTCTTTCATCAATTTTTAAGTTTTTATTTTTTTTGATAATAGAGAATCTATCTTTGGACAGATTTTTTTGAACCCGTCATGTAAAGGTAAGCTTGAGGTTCAAAAGATGCCCCTAAGCCAATGAACCGGACAAACCCAAGGGTAAGGGGGTATTTTCATCATTTTTGGAAATTTACAGACTTTGAATTTTACTCCCTCTAAAGTTATGCACCTATACATCAACAATAAATAAAGGGTGGATCTCTCAACTTTTTCTCCAAGGGTCCTGGAATATGCTCAATTCTGTCTGTCTGTCTCTCTCTCTCTCTCAGAAAAAAAATAGGAAGCATGCGTCACACGTGATTGGAAACGCGGAGTTAGTGGATGCTCCAGAACTGAATCATTTATAACAAATTATGGTGCATTGGGTGTTTTGGGAGGTGTCCTTTTTGTTTTTTTTTTCTTTTTCTTACTTATTTTTATTTTTCTCATAGTTTGCATACATATTTTCTCTTTTATTTTTTAAATTTCTTTCTAAATCTCTCAGTTAAATACAATATATTAGTCAATATTTTTTAAAATTTTTTAAAAAATTTCAAGTTTCTAAATTTAGTTTGACAAGATGAATCAAAAATTATAATTTTTATAAAAAAATTCAAAAAAAAAAAAATTAGAAAAGACAAGAGTAAGTTATCTTTTTTTTTTTTGTTTATTTTCATTTTTAGTGATTTTTTCTAAAAATTTTTGAAAAAAATATACTTTTTAAATTCATCTCAACAAGACAGACCAAAAAAGTAAAAAAATTAGCATAATTTAAAAAAAAAATCACTAAAGACAAAAAAAAATTCAAAAAACCATGTGGTTTTTCTTTTTTTTTTTTTTTTGGCAGCCAAAATGAGTCTAAATGCAGTTGCTGGATTCATTTATGGGGGTAGGACGTTTTTATTTCATTCTTCCTTGTTTTTTTTTAACAGACTTTTATTTCATCGTCTGAAATTGTCTTTTAATAATTAGATATCCGGACAATTTTAAGAATTTGAAATTAGCGACCAAATAAATTTCTAATAACTCATTTGATACCTTGAACGTGAAACTTTGAATTTTATTATCAAGCTTTACATCTTCGCCAACCACTTGGGATTAGCATGTGAAATTGTAAAATGTGGAGTGGGTAATTAATTATTCATTAGTTTAGTATTCTAAGCTAATTATGTGATGAAAAATTTCAAGTAAAACATTTTGCGTCAATTACACTAGAGTGTAATTTTTCAAAACTAATTACATATAGGTAGAAAAATTTATAATTTTTATTATTAATATTTATAAAATTGTGGGGATGTATTTTCTGAATACCAACACGTGGCAAGGTGACACCGACGTGTCAGCCGAGGTGCCACGTGTCCTGGTTGTGACGCCGAGGTTTTCTTGGCAAGGCCGAGGTTATCTCCGAAGATATCGGAATCCAAGATAAATTAATAAAGGGTAAGAGTCCTAGAGTAAAGAGTGAACTTTGCTAAGATAAGGATAAAGCTCTTAGGGAGTTTATCTTTATCTCTTGTGAAATCCAAAGTAAGCACTGAATGAGAGTCCTTAGAAGTTAGGCTTCTAGTGGGACTAGGTTTATGTTGGCTATAAAAAAGAGGCACCCTCATGGGTCAAAGGTATGCTTTTTATGCTTAAGCTTGTGAGTTTAGCACTTGATTATCTTTGAGAGATATACTGACTTGATTGTCAGAGTGCCCCCGAGTGGAAGAGCAACCGCCGGAGACTTCTCTTTCTATTGCAGGTTAGCTAGAGGCCATCTATTCTACCAGTGCTTTTCCAGCTGATTACTAGGCAGGCAGTGTGATCAGAAAATCACTCACACAATTTGGCGCCATCTGTGGGAAACTTAGAAGAATAGATGGCCAGTAACGGACAGAAGGAAAACATTGGGGGCGACACTCCTGCTGGGAGTGGCAGACCAATTGACCTTGACATTGAAGGAGACAACCATAATGCAGAAACTCATGACCAGGGCCACGGAGAGAAAGACGTCGGCCAGGAGGGTGACACTTCGAAGAGGACAGACCAAGGCAAGTACTATAACAAAGATAACCTTCAGGTATATAGGGATAGGTGCATACGGAGTGACGAAGAGGTGAAAGAGATGGCAAACAAGTTGGCAGACCTGCAATCGATCGTCAATTTTATGATGCAAAATAACGTCATGCAGTTACCATACCCGTTGCAGGACACGCTGATGCCAGCAGCCAATGCCTAGAAGCAAGGGCAGAAAGCAATTCCAGAAGCCCCCCAGCACAACGGAAGCGAAAGACATTCTCACCGACCTTCAAGGGAGGTCGGACGAAGGGAGCCAAGAAGAGAAGAATCACGAAGGACGCAACACGCAAAGCAGGCAGACCTCAAAGGACATCGGCATGTTTAGAGGCAGGCACTGTGCTTCGACACAACTCATGGAGAAGGGTCAAAAAGGGCTCATCACGAGGCCGAGAGTAGTATACCGAAGAGACTGAAGTCGAAAGATAGCCGAGCTCTTGGGCGGAGCAAAGAAGACTTAAGAGATTACCTCAAGAGGAAACAGCAGAATGCCGAAGCCGAGATAACATCCCCAGATAAGCCGAGGACACCATTCTCGGTGGAATTGGACAGGTTCGAGGCACCAAAGAGATTCGGTATGCTGAGGTTTCAAATATACGACGGCAAGTCAGACCCCAACTTCCACGTCGAACTATATTTGAACTCAATGGCATTGTATAGTGGGAACGAGCCGTTGCTCTGCAAAGTATTTCCTTCATCCTTCGGGGAGATTGCATCAGATTGGTTCCATAAACTACTGAAGGGAAGCGTGAAGACTTGGGAAGGCTTGGCCGAGATGTTTGTGGCCCGGTTCGTGACAAATAAGCTACAACCATTAAGGGTGGACGCATTGACGGCCTTGAGGATCAGTAAGGATGAAGGCCTTAGGGTCTATGCAAAAAGATACTATGAGATATTCAACCGAATACCAGAATGTAATCAAGAAGTAGTGGTTGTATCATTCAAGAATGGCCTAAAAGACAATTGTTCGCTACGGAAATCTTTGGCAAAAACTTTGTCAAAAAGCATGGAAGAGCTCATGGCAAGAATCGAGAAGTATGCCAAAGCCGAAGAAGACACATCGGCGAATAAGGAGATAAAATAGGAGAAAGGGAACGGCTCGTCGAAGCGAGACTGAGGTAACAATAACGAGCAGGCAAGAGGCAGAACTAAGGGCCACACAAGCAGTAACAACCGTGTTCCGGATCCCAATTCCCAAAGTCCTGGATTAAATTCGAAACCAGCTCTATTTCAGAACGCCAGAAAGGACTCTAGGAGAGTTCATGAGAAGAAACATTGGTAGGCATTGTGCCTACCACAATGCAGATGGACATACAACTCAGGGTTGCAGAGCCCTAAAAACATATTTGGAAGACCTGGTAAGACAAGGACATCTGGGAGACCTTGGGCGAGATTGCCTCAAGCACCAGCAGCCCCACCTCCCCCAGCACAACAGCCACAGGCAGGAGGACCTCGGGTAATCAACGTAATCCACTCAAAGGTCAACGAAAACGAAATCCAAGGAGAAACCCACAAGGTAAGACACCTACAACATGTCTATCAAGTCGGAGAGAAAAGACATCGGGCAGAACAGTACTAGGGACCGATGATAACCTTCACTGACGCCGACCTAGAGGTGGTCCAGCACCTGCATAATGATGCCTTGGTAGTATCCCTCCAGGTTGGGGAGTGCCAAGTGAAACGCATCCTGATTGACCAAGGAAGCTCTTGTGACATCATGTACATCCGATGTTGCAAGGAGCTCGACCTTCACCCATATGACATGGAACGCTCCAACGGCCCAATGGTCTGGTTCAATGGAACGTCAACATGGCCACTGGAAGCAGTAAGCTTGGAAGTGCAGGCTGGCACCAGAAAAATCAGGACAGAATTCACCGTCATCAACACACCCTCCCCTTACAACATCATCTTGGGAAGACAATGGTTGCATGCGATGGGGGCAGTTCCCTCAACATTGCATCAACTGTTGCGATTCCCAATAGAGCATGAGATAGAAGAAATCAGGGGTGATCAGCTGCAGGAAAAAAGTTGCTCCATGGCAGCAATGAAGTCTACTTGTAGCGTTCGAGAGCCTTCTAGGATGTGGAAGTCATAGAAGACGTCGGCAAGGAGCCAGCCGAGAAGAGCAAAAAGGCACTAAAGAAAATCCTCGTCTAGGATGGGGATGAAGAACTTTTGTGCAAAATTCAAGATTAAGAACTACTTCTCAACACCAAGTTTTTCCCAAAGCAATGAGCAAGCAGAGGCATCCAACAAAAGTAATCTTGGATGGAATAAAGAAGAGGCTACAGACAGCAAAAGGAAAATGGATATACGAATTGCCCAATGTACTCTGGGCATATCGGACTACGCCGAGAAGATCAACTGGGAAAATCCATTTGCCATGGCTTATGGCACAGAAGCAGTCATTCCACTAGAGATCGGCATCCCTAGAATCAGAACCTAAGGGGTAGAAAACGGAACTAATAATGTTCTCTTAACCCGAGAGCTAGATCTTCTGGAAGAACGAAGGGAGAAAGCTGCAGTTCAGCTTGCAGCATACCAACAACAGCTTGCATCTCTGAACCGGGCCGGAGTGTCTTTTAAAAAGACCGGCCTGTTGAGAGGACTGTTGCACAGCAGGCGAAAGCTAGAAAAGAGAAAACAGAGAGAGAGAGAGAGAGAGAGAGAGAGAGAGTAGCAGAATGGCTTCTTCTACGACGCGGCAGAGACGGCCAGTGCCGTCGGATCTTTCTTCATCGTCGTCGTCTACGTCGTACACGAAGCTCGAAAAGCCGGAGAGATCGGACGGCGGAGACGAGGTGGACAGGGGATTGGGGTGGACTTTCCCACTGTTGGCCCTAGGTGTGCTAAGGTACATGAGCGCTACATCGAACATCATACATGATTGCGACGAGGTCTTCAACTATTGGGAGCCTCTTCACTATCTCATCTACAAATCTGGCTTCCAGACTTGGGAATACAGGTCCAAAACCCCCCCCCCTCTCTCTCTCTCTCTCTCTATATATATATATATATATGTATGTAAACATATTTGAGTAAAAGTTCAGTTTGAAATGAAGCACTCCAAATGGACAAACTCAAATTTAAGCATAACTTTGAGTAAAAATGTTAGTGATGGCAGAATTGTAAATTTGAGTAAATATTTGAGTCTCCCTTGATTTGGGTAAAACTCAAATTTGATAAAAGTTTGAGTTCAGGAGTGGAGAGGTTTTTGATTGATTTTTACTCAAATTTGAATTTGATATGGGCTTGAGTCAAGTGTTGGAGTTGCCCTAACTTTTGAGGCCATGACATTGTAATTTTTCTTGGAGAATGTATTGCCTTTGAATTCGACAGAATTGGTACATGAATATGAGATTTGAAAATGTATATATTATCAGAAGACCAATCTGTGGTGTAGTCTAATGTTACCTCCCATACATATTCTTGTCTTGTGGAAGCACAGCCTGTCTTTGCGTTTGATCCCTTTGAAGAACTCCCCCTTTTGTTGTAATCTAGAGATTGATTCCATTTGGACTGTATCATTTGCATTCTCTAGATCAGCACTTCAATGGTGGTCCTTTTTTTATTTTATATTTTATTTTAAATTAGTAACCCCACGGATGCGAGGAAAAGAGACAATTTCGAATAGCTAATACATGTGTGCATGCATGGTCTTTTTTGTAGCAATTTACAAGTTGAAGTTAAACCAAAGTAGTTATCTTCACTTGTTGAAATTTGTTGCAATTTACAAGTTGAAGTTAAGCCGAGATAATTGGTTATCTACACTTGTTGAAATTCTGTGTGAATTTACAAGTTGAAGTTAAACCGAAGTAATGCTTAACGCTTGTTGAGATTTGTAGCAATTTACAAGTTGAAGTTACGCCGAGATAATTGTTTATCTTCGCTTGTTGAAATTTGTAGCAATTTACAAGTTGAAGTTAAGCCGAGATAATTGTTTATCTTCACTTGTTGAAATTTGTAGCAATTTACAAGTTGAAGTTAAGCCAAGATAATTGTTTATCTTCACTTGTTGAAATTTGTAGCAATTTACAAGTTGAAGTTAAGCTAGGATAATTGTTTATCTTCACTTGTTAAAATTTGTAGCAATTTACAAGTTAAAGTGAAACAAAAAACAAGAACTTGCCAAGGTACATCATCGGTTGGCATAACCGAGGTGTGTCACCCCGAGAAGATTTAACAAAGTGGGAAGAATATGTGAAAGACGTGCAGAATATTCTAAGTATAGAGTAGCCCCAGAACAGCCAAGAAAAGACAAGATTACAAGCATTCAATAAAAGAAAAAAGTTGTATTAACATTCAAAGATAAAAGGGAACGTCAGCCATACAAGAAGATTACATTGTTTCCAAAGATAAAGAAGAAACAAAAGTACAAGGAAAAAAGAAGAAGAAGAAGACTTAGAGCTAAGGCTCCTCTCCTCCAGATTGCTGAATTTGAAGATCAGATACCACCTCGGCCTCCTTCTCTGCCGCTATCTCAGCGTCAATTTCTTAGAGAGTTTTTTCAACAGTCTTGACCTCAGACGGGATGTCGGCTGGTGCGATGTCGGGAACAGCTTCTTGGACAACCTCATCGCCTTCTTCATCATAAGTCAAGTCTAGGACTTGCTTATTCTGAAGAGGGGACTTGGCCCCATCAGCATCTTTTGATTTTCTAATCAAAGCCTCGTCCTCTTCCTCCTCGGACTCATCCTCAGCATCAGATTCGCCGACATCTTCACTTGGAGTTGGGCCTAGAGGAAATGGCAAGGGAATGGCATCGGCCTTCCGCAATGGAGAATCATCAGGGACATTAAGCTTTTTAAGAAGGGATATCCAACCAAGGGTGAAACCCTTGTTGCATGCCTCCTTCACTTGTTTTTCATAGGCCTCAGTAACGTCGGCCATACCCTGTAAGTACGCCTTTTCGTCAGCGTCTTTGATTTCAGCTTCTTTGGTAGCCAGGGCCTCCTGAAGCTCTTTTTCAGCTTGGGCCATTTTTTCCTCGACCTCTCTCATTTGCGATTCGGCCACCTTCCTAATGGCCTCAGCAGCCTCAGTCTTTTCTTCAACTTCGGTCTGAGCCTTGATGGCTTCCTCATCTTGGTCTTCTAGCTTCTTCATTTTTGACTGGAGGCCTTTGTTGGTCTTTTGGAGGCTGGAGACCTCCCTCTTCATCTCGGCAAGCCTCTCCCTGTTCTCAAAAGACTGCATTGAGAAAGAGTGGGCATGCTGGATGGCCTGAAAGAAAACAGAGATATTAAAGAATATTCAAAGTGTGAAATAAA